TAAATCAAAAGAGCCCTCCCTAACACCAAACCCCTGACCTTGGGGCCATGAAATTCACAATTTTGGTAGAGCCACTCTTGCTCATCATAAATACTTTTTAGTATTTTTTTTAATACCCAGGAGAAGAGAAGAAGATTTTTAAAGAAATAATGCATTTTCACTATATAATCTATATAACCCCGTCCTAGCACTAGGACCCCTGACCCTGGGGCCATGAACTCACAATTTTGGTAGAAGATGTTCATTACATGTTCAATGCTCATTACATTCATACCAACAGTTTGACTGCTTGGTGTTCAGGAGAAGGGAAGAAGATTGTTAAAGATTCCATTAATTTGAGTGGTTTTTGTCCCACCCTTCAGGCCCCAGGGGGGTGGGGACAATGAAATTCACAATGATTGTTTCGATTTACACAGATTTTGTATACTAAATTTAGTTGAAATTGGTTCAGTTGTTTCAGAGGAGAAGCTGGAAATGTTCAGATATTAACAAATGACGCAAAAATATTTTACATTAATCGGTGTTATAATCTATTATCACATGTTAATTCAATCAAATTCTACATATACGCTTAAGGTTAATTGTCAAATTATTCCTTTCAGTTGAAGGATCACAATGCCTTTAGGGTCTTCTTTAAATGTTTTGGTAAAATTGAAGGTCTTTGAATTTGTACGAGAGATCTGTAATCAAGATTATAGAAAATATTTCAGTGTTATCTAGAATGTATATAGGATAATGTATAACTGAGACACATGCAGATAAGATGTATATCACAATATACCAACTTTCTCTACATATATGCAGTACAACACTATGAAAAATGTAAGGTGTACCATACACGAATTTAACTGAAAAAAATATAAACTTGAGCTGTTCCATTTTTTCTTTCTTTTCTTTTTTTTAACTTTGTTTTCGTTTCTGTACAAGCATATGATTATAATTAGCAAAAAAAAAAAAAAATAATAAATATATCATAATTCATTGTATTGACCTTAAATTAAAAAAAGAAACAATAACTACACGTAATTAATTTGCAGCCTTAAAATGTTACTCCTGTAAAGACATCGATTCTGCTGAGAGGTGTAACACAACAATAGAGTGTCCAGGAACTGATTACGTAAGATAAATAGCATCTCAACTTAAGAAGTCTATTTTCCGAATCCTATGTTAACAGTTTCCTTAAAATTGTACTGTTGTTGATCATTTTGTTCCAGCAATGCATTACTGGAGTGTCCTTTACCAATGATTTTCGACAGGTCTTCAAATTAGGCTGTGCTCCAAATTCCGTACGGTTTATTTTACTTCTGATTTAATATATTGAGTATTTTATTTTTATCATGCATATTATACCCTAATGTTTATATTTCGAACAATAAGCATTGGGATGGAAATACATATAAGCACTTGAGATACTCTCTTAGAAACTTTCTATAAACAATAAGTAGATTGTTTTTGTTTTTGAGCTAATGCTTACTTTGTTTTGTTGTCAATGATCGCTGTTCAATTTTTTAAATTGTTTCTATGTTTCCCAGGTCTGTTCTCATTATGGTAAACGTTCTATAAGTAGAAGAGCCGACGCTTCCTGTTGTTCGTCAGATCTTTGTAATCACAATGGGCACATAAAAAGATCCATAGACGCTCCAGTTTTCATAAAAGGTATTAATTAGTTTATAATTTTAGATCGAGCCCTGTTCTCAGGCATAAAATATTAACCTACAGAGTTATTTCGTTTCTGTTTATCAAATGTGGGACGGGACGTGGAGACCGGTCCTTCGGATGAAACTGTATAAACCGAGGTCCCGTGTCGCAGTAGGTGCGGGTATGAAAAAGATCCCTCCTGCTCAATGGCCCTAATTGCTGTGTATAGGTCAAAATTTGCAGCTCTCCACCGGCAAGTGAAAAATTAACGAGAGGAACGTAAAACAATATACAATCAATCAATCAATTCTGTTTAAATTGATATCTTTATATGTCTCTATATCGTATATTTAAATTTACTGTATATGATACAAATTAGGAGTTAAGAAGTTGCATTTTTATCAAAGATTCACGTAGAGAAACAGCGCCCTCTATGTGTGACGACACAGATGAGTTGGCTTGTACTTTACTGTTCACAACTAATCCTCACTTCTGTGCAGACGACTGTTTTGCAGACAAAATATGTCCTAGACTCTGTGGAAGATGTTGTAAGTCTCTTTTTAATCTTTATGTGTGATGGGAATTCTCCTTAATCAAACAGCAAGTCTTATGAGTTAGCAAACTAGTAATCAGTTTGCAGACACTGTGTATCATTCACAGGATGAACCTTAATCATCATTTTTGTCATCACCTGATCCAAGGGTTCATCTGTTCACACATCATAAATTAATGCTGTCGTCATGGCATATATTCTGCAATCTTTCAAACCACATTATGTCAATTAATGAGCTAATTCAACTGATTGTAAAGAAAAAATTGATGTTGGATCGGCTTCTCTGATTAATTGTTATTTTTTGGGGGTAAAGAGTGTCAAGGTTTCTTTTTATTTCAGCAGAGTGTTATTCATGTGACCATGTTAATGAAACAGAGCAGTGTAACCAGACCCGAGTTTGTGAAAAAGGGGAGGTAAATAAATACATATATAATCATCTTAAAGCAACATAAATGTGATTGATGACTGAAACATTTATATTAATGTAATAGTGTTAGAAATGCACATTCAGAACTGTAATTCACCGTCATAATTAGGTCTTTCCACCTTTCTGTGGAAAGACCTCTTGAAATGCTTCTGTTTATTAGGTCTTTCCACCTTTCTGTGGAAAGACCTATTGAAATTGTTCTGTTTATTATTATTAATATTTTTATTTTTTTTATTATTTTTCCGCCGCATGTATTTTTGTTTGAAGATATATCGAAAAGATTTATAGTCCATAAGAATGTACTCTGTAAAAGATTATTGCAGTTCACCCTGCGTAAATGAGCCTTGACCCCTTTCGAAGTTATTGCCCCTTTCGCAAGAAATTTTTGTTATCGCTACTTCTCCGAAACCATAAACCGCAGAGATTCCAAACCTTTATTAATGTTTACGACTGACTTAGTAGCTCTCCAATCAAACATTGCGAAAGGATTGTAAACTCCTATAATGAATTATTGCCCCTGAATGCTTGCAATGTTTACAAATATCAAGAATTTTTCTAAAACGACAAGGCGTAGAGACATGGGACCAACTGCAAAAGATTCATTGACCTTTGACCTTAAAATGGAGGTCAAGGTCAAAGGTCAAGGTCATTCAAAATATGTAAAATTACGCATTTTTTATAGCTTTTTTCTTTGCAACTTTAGTATGTACTATTAAAACCATTTTAAACGATTCCATGTTGTGAACTTTGAAACCTTTCAAAGTTATTGCCCCTTTCAGCAAGAAATGCTTGTTATCGCTACTCCTTTGAAACCGTAAACCGTAGAGGTATGAAACCTTCAACAATGTCTTCGACTAATTGAGAGGACTTCTGGAATCTATTCATTGCGAAAAGTATTCGGTGACTCCTTCAATGAGTTATTGCCCCTGAAAGTTTTAAAGTTTACAAAAAAAAAAAATAAAAAAAACTTTTAAATGACAAGTGGTAAAGTTATAGGACCAAGTGCATGAGATCTTATGACCGTTGACCTTGAAAATAGGTCAAGGTCAAAGGTCAAAGGTCATTGGAAAAGTAGAGAAATTGTCAATTTAAGCTTAAAATTCAAATGACCTTGACCTTTGACCTTGAAATTTGATTTTGACCTTGACCTCTGACCTTGACCCTTACTCAAAAGGTCATAAAGAAATATTCATTACCTTTATCTAGATTCAGCTTCAAGTGTTAATCTCAAGTTTACCTCTCTTTTCATGACCTTGACCTTTGACCTTGATAAATGACCTTGACCTTTGACCCCATTGACCCAAAGGTCACAATCAAGCTAAAGGTCGTGGAGGTATTTACAACCATCACTCTAACAAATGCTTATAAAGTTAAACCCCCCCCCCCCCCTTTAAAAAGAAAATCAACACCGACTTAGAGAAAATGTCTACAAGTCAAACGAAACGAAATATCGACATAAGATTTGTAATAAAAGGAAGGAGAGACCTGAAAGAAAGTGTCCTGAGAGTTTTAAGGTGAGTCTCTAAAGTATTTTGAAATTATAGTGAATATCGGCAAAATCTGCATTTTTTTTCTGTCTGAAATTTAGTTATTGCTGAGCATAAAAATTAATTAAAACTCGTATTGGCTATTTCTGCAATTATTGTTAATATCATTCGATTCTCCTGCTCTATTACGACATTTTAATACCAAGTATTCTTGCTTTCTTAGGTGTATGGAATTTATTTTAATTTTATTTAGATTTAAATCTAAATCTTACTCACTGTTTTTCCGGGATTTTGAATTTCCTCTGCAACTGACCACGTGTATTACTTTCGCTTTTACGACTCTATATATGCTAAGTGTCATTGCTTCACTGCAAATGTGTCCCATAATTATTCTAATCATTTTCCTACATACAATATCACATCAAACCGGCAAGATCTCAGTTTTTTAAGAAATTTGACCGGTACTTTCCTACGAAACTACAGGTATCCTCTTCCACCTTCAAAAAAAAATTAGTTTACAAACTACGCTTACTTGTGTACAACTTGATGGCTCAATGGTTAGCGTGTCCGACTTACAAACCAAGGGTTGTAGGTTCAAGCCCAGCTGGAGGAATTTTTTTTTTTTTTATTTTTTTTTTTTTTTTTTTTTTTTTTTTTTTTTTTTTTTTAATTCAAATGACATGAAAACTTAAAAAAAGGTGGAAAGCCGTTAATTGTTCAGAGAACAATTAGTCTCCTAGTTCTTCTTCTTTTTCTTCCCGGACTTTTGAAACCGCAAGACTTATCGAAAAACTTTATAGTTCATGAAACTGGATATCAAAAGTTATTCTGAAAAACGACAGCCCTTGTTTGAACTTTGACCCCTTTCGAAGTTATTTCCCTTTACGCAAGAAATGCTTGTTATCGCTACTCCTCCGAAACCGTAGACCGTATAGACACCAAACCTTCACTAAAGTCTTCGACTAATTGAGAGGACTCTGGAATCTATTCATTGCGAAAGTATTCGGTGACTCCTTCAATGAGTTATTGCCCCTGAAACTTTTTGAATTTTAGAAATTATTAAAAATTTTCAAAACGAGAAGTGAGAGAGACATGGGACCAACTGCATAAGATTCATTGAGCTTTGAGCTTAAAATTCATGTAAAGGTCAAAGGTCAAGGTCATTCAAAAGTTGAGAAATTAATTTCTTTTTATATCTTTTTTGTCTCTTAACATATACAAACTGTCTGAGCATCATTAATATGTACTCTTAAAACTATCTTAAAGATTCAATTCGTATTCCGTAACATTGACCAAGTATCGCCCTTTTGCGGAAAACCTTGTTATCGCTACTACTGCGAAACCATAAACCGTACAAATATAAAACCTTCACTAAAGTCTTCGACTAATTGAGAGGACTCTGGAATCTATTTATTGCGAAAGTATTCGGAGACTCCTTCAATGAGTTATTGCCCCTGAAACTTTTTGAATTTTAGAAATTATTAAAAATTTTCAAAACGAGAAGTGATAGTGACATGGGACCAACTGCATAAGATTCATTGACCTTTGATCTTAAAATTCATGTAAAGGTCAAAGGTTGAGAAATTGGCTTTTTCTATATCTTTTTTGTCTCTTAATATATACAAACTGTCTTTGCATCATTAATATGTACTCTTACAACTATTTAAAAGATTATTTCTTGTCCCCAAAGATTGACCCTATTAAAAGTTATTGCCCCTTGTGCAAGAAAACCTTGTTATGTAGAGACCGTATAGACACTAAACCTTCACTAATGTCTTAAGGGTCTTAAGGCCTAACTTCACTATATAAGTGCAAAAGGATCTGATGACCGCTTATATGAGTTATTGCCCTTTAACTTCTTTGTACTTCCTATTTAACCTTATAACTTGAAAACTATAAGTTGTAGAATCATGGGGTCAATTGCATTGTGACCCTTGACCTTTGACCTTGAACATTTTTCAAGGTCAAAGGTCAAGGTCATTCTTAATTTTTTTTTAATTTTCATTTTTCTATGCTTTAAGAGAATTTTGGTTTCTTTTCATGGAATTAATTTTTAGGAGTCAGATACAAAATTAAGATTCCAAGAAGGTGGAAAGACCTCTTATTGTTCTGTGAACAATAGGTCTCCTAGAAGGTGGAAAGACCTATTGATTTCCTTCTGTTTCTTCTTTTTTATTATTTTCCGCCGTGTGATTTTTTGTTTCAAGATTTATCGAAAAACTATAGTCCATAAGAATGATAAAAGATTATTGCAGTTCACCCTGCATAAATGAACCTTGACCCCTTTCGAAGTTGTTGCCCCTTGGGCTAGAAATGTTTGTTATCGCTACTTCTTCGAAACCGTAAACTGTAGAGGAATGAAACCTTCACCAATGTCTTTGACTAATTTAGGAGACTCTTCAATCTATTCATTGCGAAAGCATTTGTTGACCCCCTTCAATGAGTTATTGCCCTTGAAACGTTATGAATATTACAAATAATTAAAAATTTTCAAAACTACAAATCGAAGAGACATGGGACCAACTGCATAAGATTCATTGACCTTCGACATTGAAATTCATGGAAAGGTCAAAGGTCAAGGTCATTCCAAAATGAAAAATTAAGCATTTTTTATATCTCTTTTGTCTTTTAACATATACTTAATGCCTATGCTTCATTAATATGAACTCTTAAAACTGTTTCAGAGATTTCATTCTTGTCCCCTAACATTAACCCCTTTAAAAGTTATTGCCCCTTGTGCTAAAAACCTTGTTATCGCTACTCCTCCGAAACCATAGACCGTAGAGACACCAAACCTTCACTAATGTCCTCAGGGTCTTTAGGCCTAACTTCAGTATAAAAGTGCAAAAGCATCTGATGACCCCTTATATGAGTTATTGCCCTTTAACTTCTTTGTACTTATTTTTAAACCTTATAACTTGAAAACTATAAGTCATAGAAGCATGGGTTCAATTGCACTGTGACCCTTGACCTATGACCTTGAATATTTTTTCAAGGTCAAAGGTCAAGGTCATTTTTTTTTTTTAAATTTTCATTTTTTCTATGGTGTAAGAGAGTTTTCATTTCTTTTTCATGGAATTTAATTTTTAGGAGTCAGATATGAAACAAATTTGAAATTCAAAGAAGGTGGAAAGACCTCTTATTGTTCTGTGAACAATAAGTCTCCCAGTTTTTTATTATTTTTCCGCCGTGTGATTTTGAGTTTCAAGATTTATCGAAAAGATTTTAAATTCATAATAATGTACTCCGTAAAAGATTTTTGTAGTTGACCCTGCGTATATGAACTATGACCCCTTTCGGAGTTATTACCCCTTTCGCAAAAAAGCTTGTTATCGCTACTCCTCCGAAACCATAAACAGTAGAGAAATGAAACCTTCACTAATGTCTTCAACTAATTTAGTAGACACTTCATTGATTCATTGCGAAAGTATTCATTGACCCCTTCAATAAGTTATTGCCCCTGTAAGTTTTAGAATTTTACAAATAATTAAAAATTTTCAAAACGAGGAAGTCGTAGAGACATGGGACCAACTGCATAAGAATCATTGATCTTTGAGCTTAAAATTTATGTAAAGGTCAAAGGTCAAGGTCATTCCAAAACTGAGAAATTTAGTTCTT